TAACGCACACACGAATACTGTAATTCTTTCAATAATTATTCGATACGAGTGCTGTAATAATCGCGCGTGCCGGCTGCCGATTATCGAATCATCTGACGCGACGCCGACGTCCAGCTGGAGGGTGGACGTCGACGTAGCGCCGCGGCGCCCTTCCGCACGGGTGGAGTTAGACGATGTATTGGGGGGATTGCGGCGAAAAAAGCAGCGGCGTGCGAGAATTTGTTTCACAATCAGTGATAAATTTATATCGGCAATTTAATACAGTGACAGAGAGAAAATCCACATCATATGGAACCAATGACTAAAGAATACAAGGATTAATACCACCCGAGACCAAATTGTTACCATACCTCCAAACAGTGCCGTGGTACATATTTTTCTTAAGATAGCTGCTTGAAGAGATATTTATATATTTGATAAATGTTTTGACTACGCCTATGACGTATGCGGTGGTATCATACTAATTAATTACGAAAAAAAAAACGTATTAAAATGTTAACAAAAGGTACAAAACTAGTATCGACGTATCCAACTATACAGGGTGAGTTTCCTACGATGTTCTCTATGGGTATCTCGGAAACTACTGGAGATAGAGAACTGACTCTCTATGATAATTATTTTTCTGATATTGTATGCACTTGATATATACAGGGTGAGTTTCCTACGATGTTCTCTATGGGCATCTCGGAAACTACTGGAGATAGAGAGTCGGTTAAATGGGGAAAGAATTGCAGTTTTGTGGGGTCATAAATATGCGCTTTTCAGATTTTCGAAAAAGTTCATGGCTTACTAGATATTTTGATTAGATTGTAATGGAATTAGAGACAATTTTTTAAATAGCCAAAATTTGTTTTTTTCGAAATATCTAGTACGCCATGAATTTTTTCAAAAATCTGAAAGGCGCATATTTATGACCCCACAAAACTGCAATTCTTTCCCCATTTAACCGACTCTCTATCTCCAGTAGTTTCCGAGATGCCCATAGAGAACATCGTAGGAAACTCACCCTGTATATATATATCAAGTGCATACAATATCAGAAAAATAATTATCGAATTCAATAAAAAAACGCTAAAAAGGTCGAGAGGACTGTTTATTTACCTATGAAACGTTATTTACCAATATACAAACCAACTCCTGGCGCTTTCTTATCGATGCGGCTTTTACACTTGAAAGCTGAACAACTAATCACCATTGTAATAAAAAATTGTCGCTGAAGACTCATTCGTTACAGAGAAAAATATGGCGGCTAACATCACAAATTCTGCTGCAGCCTGTATATGGGCATTACGTGTCCATGTATTCTTTTGTCATTGTATGGAACTTTTGGAAGTGAAACTTCTTTACGCGCACTGGGAGTAAAAATTCAAGGCCGTGACACGACACGCGAGACGACAGGCGAGAGGAAAAATGATAAGGACAGCCTACGGCTTAGAAAAAATCGTCCGATTTGAATAAAATTTGGTATGTCGATAGATTGGACCAAGATCAACCTGACCATGTACGACCGCAACCACCGTAATAACAAGGCCGGGCAGCTTATTCCTGACGTCATCAACTGAAGGCCTAAACTTTAATTGCATTTGACCGTCGACACGTGTCACTGTGACAGTTATTTTTGACGTAAGAAACGTCAAAAATTAATGTCGTCTGATGGCGATCACATTTGGTGGGTAGGTTATATGACCGACGGTGCACACAGTCCCACCCTACAGTTGGATACGACGTTTCGTTTACATCTTCAGCAGGGTGGGACTAAGGATTTGATATATTGAAAAAAATGTGGGTCAATTTCGGCAAAATTGGGGACAGGCTACAGGATGACGCCCTCGACATTTCGAAACGATGCCTCTAAATTGACGAAATCATCAGGAAGTGATGAAGTTTCGCTTCAAATATGCGCACATAGTACACACAATTGTTTTAAAGTATAGTTTTGTGTAATGGATGAAGCTACTTATTTTTGGTGTAGAAGATGGTGTGTGGTGTGTTTATTAATAAAAAACAACAAAAATAAAATACATAGAACAATTGGAACATGTGAGAAGCATATCATAACAAGATGGTTTTGAAAAATTTCCGACAACATTGAACTATGTACTACAAATTTAAAAAAAATGAAATTAGACTGTAAAAAAATGAAGTACCTATTAATGATTAGGTACAATTCTATCATATCTTTTTAGTTTCTTCCATTTTAACCAATGTTTGTATTATTATAACCATAACAAGAAATAAATGACAAGAGATGACATATATTATAACTAATGACCTCTAAATAAAGCAGACCCGGCATTTCATTCATAAAAAGGAAAAGATCAGAATCAGATATTCGTTTCTTGCTCTATGCGAGTGGGAACAAGACGGGCTGATCGCAGTCATGAAGGATTCCCGTGAGAATGGCAACGCTGTTCAGAGAGCTTGAGAAAGTGTGTCATGGGCGTAGTTACTTTGATTGTAATATATAATTTAATATTATATCCGCGTAAATACCGGGAAAAAAAGCGGCGTCCAGTTGGCTTGGAAATGACGATCGATGACATTTCCCATATAATTTTACATATAAAATGACAGCGATCTTCATTTCGTAGCCATCGTTGACGCCGTTTTTATTCGATCATACGGTATGATTTTTGGATACGATATATTGTTGTGCTCGATGGCTCTTCAAATTTTGTAAATGACTACTTCTGTACTCCAATAAATTGAAAATAACTAATTGAAATATTATGATATGCACATTTCCATAGAATAAAGTCTGTAAATTGCTCCAGTAGTAATATAATCCATCAAGCATTCAATGAATACGAGCCGACGACGACTTTTATAAAACATTTATGTGAATTAATGGTTATTATTTTGCTTGAAGCAACGGTGGAAAATGAGAATATTTAAAAACTGTCGTGACTAATTACAATTTTATATTAGGTATAAAAATATTACTATATAGCAACAATAATAAAGATCTTTGTTAAACAAAAGAAAATTTCTAAAATATTTACTTATTTCTGGAACAGTTTCTTCGCGGATAATCGGGACCTTGTACTGAATAAATAATTAACTTTTCATTAGAAATTACCAAACAAAAATAAGTAATGCTTTATAAAACATATCAAACAAAGATGCATTCATCTTTTTAAACTATATAATTTTTTATAGCATTAATAAACAAAACAAAAATAAATTGCTCTATTACCACAAACATTATACCATCGAAAAAGAAACGGCGTAAAAATGACAATCAGTGATAATTTTGGCGAGGTGATATGTCATGACCCCTACTCTTGTTTATTTTTTAATGGCACTTACTGGCAGTAGTAGGCCTTAAGGTTGTATTTGATTTTTAAATGGTGTAGTATAAATTCGAAATTTTTTTTTGATATCGGTTTGTGTTTCTGGAAACGTTCTATCCTTTTATAATTTTTCTATAATTAGTATTAGTTTTTGACAAGCTTTATGTCAATTTTTAATAAATGACATCTAGAAATAGACCTCGCCAAAATTATATTCGATTGTTATTCCCAGCAGTCTTCGATACCGTTTTTTGCGATCATTCGGTATTTAGTATGTAATATCCAACGTACTCTTCCCTTAACTTTTTTTCAATCATTATATAAATCTATTTTGATTTTACACTTAAAAAATCATCTTTAACAACTAAAAATCCTAATAACAATCAGTATGATAGAAAAAAAGGCCTCCAGTTGGCTTAGAAATGAACATCGATGACATTCCCCATATAATTTTACATATAAAATGACAGCGATCTTCATTTCATAGCCATCGCTGACGCCGTTTTTTTCTTTCGATCATATGGTATTTCGCTTATGAACATTTTTCGTAATTGTGGCATCTTTAATTTTTTTATATATCTTTTCAACAAATTAATCGCATTTGTATACTTGGTTTTAATAATTAAAAATTATGAGCAAAATATTCAATAAAACCAAACGTGACGAAACTAACTTAATGTAATTCATTACTTATAACGGTACATTCCAAAACTGTGTGATTTACTAATACATATTTCCAAAGATTTTTCTCTATTTTACCTTTCGGCACCGCACTGATGTAACATAGCCTTACTCACCTTCGAAATGAAACTTCTAGGTTTAAATCGTCTCTATTTTTGCAAATTAAGCAAGTTCGCACCATTGTCTTATTGTTTCTGAATAAAATCACTAAAAATAATACCACAAAACACTAAAATATCTGGAAATCACCTCATAAAACATTTCGAAAAACCACAACACATTGGCAACGCCGTAAACCAATTTATGAACGAATTCGAACTGAATGTTTTGTTGGCTGCCTGAATTTAGGAGTAAAGATAGTAAAATGCGTACGTTTTCAGTATCAGCTGGCGTTGCGACGTTGTCGATTGTTTTATGTTAAATTTCTTAAAATCTAAAAATTATAATTACAGAAGAGTTAAATAACGGCTAATGCTGATTGGGAGTAGTTCGTGATACTAGGCTACCTTTAATTATTATCGGTTTAAAGTATTCTACGACGTAATCTATATTTGGAATTCCTGGTTTACAATGTGGGTTAGCTATCCCCGTACGTATACGTAGGTAAGATTTCATTTTAAATGCGGCCGGTAGTGGAAATTTGGCATGCATGCAATTTTCTAAGGCAATGATGGATTTCGCCAAAATGTAAGTCGCCGGGTCTAATTTATTTCGATGTCATTGATTATAACCTAAAAACTCAAAATTCGCAACGAATATTCGCAAAAATTAAATCAGTTTCAATATTCCCGCCCTCAGATTTTAAATTAGGCTAATTCGGAAAATATTAAAACAACTTCCTGTCAATTTTGCTGCCTCCATATTTTTTTGAAATTGGCCAATAACAATATTCGCAATTCGCGTGTACATATAGAGGGGTCTACCAGACTATTCTGTAGCGATTAAAGGAGAATTATTCAGTGCAACTATTAAGGATATATATACACCAGAGTAATTTTAAAAATAAAATATATGTATATTACTTACGTTGGTGACGGTACTTGACTATTGATAAACGGTGAATCGTTAGCGTCGAAAAAGTCATCCTCACCCTCAGAACTGGAATATGACATATCGGGTACAACAAGACCTGTCGTCGTAGCTATAAAGAAAATACAAATTAATGCGTGATTACTCAAATTTTGGATTTAATATTCAAAGTAAAGAATTTAAGGTCTAGGTCACAATCGGTGTATGAATACCATAAACTTAAATTAAATTATACCCAGAAATATTTGTTTTTTACCATTATTAAAATGCTGTATTTAGTCTTGATTTATATAAACAATTTTTTTTATGTAAAAACAAGTAAAATAGTATAGCAAATATATTTTTCTTAAATTAAATCCATATATTTCTTTTAATTTTCTTGGGTATGAGGTTTTTTTTATTAAATTGAAACATGGAAACTTTTTTTATGCGACGGATGTTTCGCTCCAACATAGTGGGCTTTTTCAGGTACTTTATTCTAAAAACTATAAAATATCAAAATTATTATTTTTTTCCTCTTAACTAACAATAATAAAATTTGTCATACAGAAATATAAAATTTGTCATGTACTATAAAAATAAAAATAAAAAAACATTAGAAATCATACATTATAGTACATGTCAAATTTTATATTTGTGTATGACAAATTTTATTATTTTTTTATTATTGTTAATTTTAATAAAGTGCTTGTTCGTTTAATAAAGTGCCTGAAAAAGCCCACTATGTTGGAGCGAAACGTTGCATAAAAAAAGTTTCCATCTTTCAATTTAATAAAAAAAAGCTCATACGCAAGAAAAGGAAAAAAAAATATATGGATATAATTTAAAGGTTTAAGAAAAAGCGAAAATTTTTTTTTTAAATTACGTTACATAGTATTTTTTACTTGACGATATTTATACAGGGTGCGTCTCAAAAGTGGTTACCCCTATAACTTTTTTATTTTTTTAAGATAAAATAACGAGGTTTGGTATGTTAGTATATGACATAAATTACGATTGATTGACGAATTCAATTGTTTTTGGTCACTTCCTGTTTCACCGGAAATGACTACAACTTTTTATTTTCAAATGACACCCTCGGTATTTTTTACTTTATTCGGTAAAAAATGATACTCTGAATCGAATGACATAACAAATTGTATTTTAAATTTCAATCTAGAATGCCATGGCTGTGTTAAAAACACTAATTTTTAATCAAGGAGCCTTGGAAAAATAGATTTGATGGTCTAATGAATTTAGTGTCTTGTGCTGGCCGGTTAAAAGATGCCCAAATCGTATTTTTAATCATATCTCAATTTTTTCAAATGGAACGAGGGTGGCTCATTAGCATATTTGGAAAAAGCATTTTTTTACGAATAATTTGATACCACACACTTAGTATTTGGGGTCAAATTATCGTTACGAACCGTATGTTATAATTTCAAATAAACCATATGCGAAAATGTCAAAAGTTGTCATAATATGATATGTCATTCTATTTAGAGTGTCATTTTCGAAGTGAAAATTTTATATTTTTCTTGACATTTTCCGGGAAATTTTAAAAAACTTTTTAGTGCCACTTGTTTATTCACTCGAGGCGTCGAATAAGCTGAAAAACCTTGTGAAAAACACTTAATAGAAGGCTATCGCTAGCGGCTCTCAAAATGTTGCCATTATATTTTAAAATTTTCAAAGTTAAATATGTCGGTTATTTTCTATTTATTTTAAAAATGGCTTGTTTGTTTTATTTTAAAAAGATGTTTCTTTTAACCAGATCTACCACCCCTAAAAATATCTGCACTTATTTCTGGGACACCCTGTATAATACTCACTAATTGGTCTGAGATGGCGTCGACCATTCTCTATACATTCGGAGGCCATTTCGATGCCTGTTTGAATGACAACTTCACCGGGTACCAATACATCTGCAAAAAAAAATACTTTACTACGATATTACAATTTTGTTCACAAAGAGTAAGTATTAATATATCTATTAATTTTTAAATATTTAGTAAACTATTGTCATAAATGTGTAGTTTTTCCATGACAAATTCGATGATTCACACTAGGAGGTAACAATGATATTAAAAAAATTGGTAATTGTCATTCCATTCTTCAGGTAATTTAAAAATGGCCACCGATTGTCAGAAATGATAAATCTCAAAATCATCCCGATCCACTCAGACTTTTTTGAGCCACCCTGTAGAAGTTAAAATATTTTCCTGAAATACATTCTAGTACATACTTTAGGTCTGCACTTGAACAAAATTCCCAAGTTATTTTTTGTAGAAGCTACAGATGCCCCCTGTATAATTATGCGATATATCGAATTTTAATTTGTTTTAATATTTAATTTTTTTAGGTTTTGTTCTGAAATAAAATTTAAAAAAAAACAGTTTTTCAATAAGTAATTTGATTATCTAATTCGATATTACTACACACAAATGTAAGTCAACTGCTGATAATAAGATTGTAAATGATAATTTTCAGAGTTTCAAAAACTTGTTAATTTTCCTATTCTGCCCGATAAAAAAATATACTCAGATGCAAAAACGCAACGGAGAAAATTTTGGTGTTATATTTTTGTTATTTTTAGCCCTATTTTCATGATTTTTTTAGCAAACTGTATATAATTATATCAACTTTGATTCGTGAACAAGTTTTTTATAAATTTTAGTATTTGGCATATTATACAGGGTTAATCGAGGGGTTGTTTTTTTACCTCAACTTTAAAACACCCTGTGCAGTAATTTTGTGTGTAAATTTTCCTAAAATATAATTGACGGTTAGAACCATGTCTCCTGAGCGTTTTGTTTTTTGGATCATGTCAATACATGCCTTGGTTAATTTTTAAGAGTGAAAGGAACATGCTACGAACAATTTGCAATTTTTTCAATTATTACTCTTTGGTGTAATTTTTTGATATGACGAGATGGTTTTGGTGACCATTGTCGTAACGCTATATTCCACTGCATTGGATACTCTATACTAAATTAAAAAAAAAAACGTTAAAGAATAACGATACAGTCCTGGTTTTAATAAACATTTATAACGATAACCGAACTAACGGTATTAAAGAAAACATCTGTAATACTCAAGTATACAAACAGAAAAAAAATTGGAAAAAATACCCTAATACTTTGTATTACCTCCCTTGGCTGCTACAACTGCCTGTATACATCCGTTCATACTGTTATTGAAGCTGCATATATCATTATTGCGTTATGCTTTCCCATTCTTCTTTAAGAACAAAACGAAGTTCATTTAATGAAGCTGGTACCGCTTCGCGACCTCTAAACTCTAAACCTCCTGCCCAGCATTTCCCAAACGCTGAACATGATGGGCAGCTTATAGTAGTATATAGTTCACAATAATCACTAAAGTCGCCTCCTCATATTGAAAAATAACTTCAAAAGAAATGATAATTGAAAAAATTGCAAATTGTTGGTGACAAGTTTATTTCGCTCTTAAAATTTAACCAAAGCATGTATTGACATGATCCAAAAAACAAAATGCTCAGGAGACATGGTTCTAACCGTAAAATTAAATTTTAGAAAAATTTACACACGAAATTATTGTACAGGGTGATAAAGTCAAGGAAAAAAAACCTGGTTTAACCCTGTATAATATGCCAAATACTAAAGTTTATAAAACACTGAGTTTACGAATTAAAGTTCATATAATTATATACAGCTTGCGAAAAAAAAATGGAAATAGAGCTAAAAATAACAAAAATTTAACACTCCAAATTTGACCAAAAATCTCTCTGTTGCGTTTTTTTTGCAACTGAGTGTATAAAGCAAATCATACGCAAAATAGATAGATGTAAATATAATAAATTACTAATAATAACAATTTGAAAAAGAGTACTTACATTTTAATTAAAATTATATTTCAATAAATATATTCACAAAGTATAAATAATTATAAGTTTAAATTACTACACTCCAGACCCTACTCCGAAACGATTGTTTATAAAAGTTAATGTCCAATAAAAAGCATAATTATTTTGGTCTGTTTTCACTTAAGACAATTTAAACATCGTGTCACGTTCGCCCTATGATGACGTAGGGAGTTAATATATTCTCCGCACAGTAATACATATAATATCTAATAAGAGTAAAAAATAATAATATACTGAAAATATTGATATAATTTTACCTATACAGGTGTCTCAAAAAACATGTGCCATCTCTCGTGAAGGGATCTCTCACGTAAAAATTAAGATTTATTTTTTATATCAACATAGGTCCGATTCTGCTTTGTTTCGTATTTACAGAGGGTTCATTTTTTTCGATTTATTATAATTTTCTTTCAAGTGCTTCAGGGCTACCTACAGCAAATTAAAAAAATGCTATTTAAGATAATTACAAAAGATCTATTTTTTAGAAGTTTTAACATCCTGATCCTGTAATGAATCTGAATCTTCGCAAGAGAACTGGTACATGTATTTTGAAACACCCTGTATAGTAGAAAATATTCCAATAAAAAGAGCAGTTGACGCTTGAAGACGAATAATGAATAAAGAATTACTTTACTAAAGTAATTCAAGTAAATGTCTCTGTCATGCATGGAAAAAAAAATATTGCCCGTGTAATAGCAGTAAACAACCCAGTGGCGGCTCGTGGTTATTATTGCAGGGAGGTCAATATCTAAAAATATTGCGTCGATTTTTTTTAAGACGCGACCAAATTTAATTGGTTTCTTACAAGGTACTTGTACCGTTTAAAGGAAAATAAATCTAAAAATAAATACAAATGTTAAAATGAAATCTACCCTTACGTTTTTAAACAGGTCTAAACCACCTGTGCCATTTCACTAAAAATCCAGTCAATGTTCTTAATAATTAACACTTAAATAATGTCATAAAAATATAAATACATATATACACATACACATTTCTATTTCAAAGTTTTATTTCACATTTTTTCTATATTTTAAGTCAATTTTTTCTCTAAACGTTTTTCGAAATTTAAGCAATTGTTTTCTTTTTATAAACATGCAAACTGCCCAAACGGCAACATTTTTCCAGCGATATGAGTGAAATCCTGTAATATATTTATATACCTAGAAATAATGCACTCAATATTTATTATTAACTAATAAACAATATTACAAATTACAATAATAACACGCTGGGATCTCTAGACAAAGACAAAAACTGCCACTTTTTATATCGTCTGTCAGTGAACTACCAAATACAAGTGTATATTTATAAAGTTGCCTACCTTACAAATCCTTTTATGAATGACGCGGTCAATGGCCAATATAAAGTATATCTATCGCACCTTAACCCCATTATATTTTCTATACGTAGTATACCTTACCTTGTTGGCGTCACGAGCTACGGCAGTTGGAGTTTAATACGTGAAAAACATAGCGGGAACGAAGGACAAAATAAAATTTTGACCGGCATTAGAGAAAATGGGTAAAATAAAATGTTTTCAAGCGAGAATTGGACAAATTGGGAATAGTTTTGAATATTTTAGGATGAAAAAAAGTGATTTACAAAAAGTATAATTTAAATAAGTTTTTCTAATTTTCTCTGAATTTTTTTGGAGGGACATTGACCATTATTTGATCTCATAGTTAAGCGCCACTGTCAATACTTAAATATTATTTGCAAAACTCTAACAAAGTTAGTATAGATCATACCAAATAAACTTTTAGTCACGTGATTAAGCTTGACCAGCACAGCGTTGCCCACTTTTACATATTTTCTTTTAATCAAAACATTTTAGGAAACAAAAACAAATTAATTATAAATATGTATATAAACAGCATATAAGGGACATAAAGGGTCATCACCACCGCTTTCCCGTTTGCGGTGATGTGATACTTTAAGCTTAAAGTATCACAATTCATTTAAACCAAAAACTCGTAATACAAAACTAAAGTGTCAAAACGAATGACAATGTCAGGAAATAAATAAATAAATGTGGCAACTTGACATTTTTTACATCAAAGCTACCACCTGAGTATCTCCAGCGGTATATTTAAATTCCAGTTAGCAAGCCTGGCGCCGAATATGTCCATGGTTGGCAACAATAAATTTAAAAATCGCGCCCTCGATTACGTAACTAAAAGTTTGATTGGTATCGCTTATATTATACGACTTACCGTCATGTATCGATGATATACTGTTGGATGGACCAGGCCTTGAAGGGTAAATACCATTCATTGGATGAGCGGTATTCTATAAATAAAAATATTAATATAATATGATATGATCGAAAAGACGGCGTCAGCGATGGCTTTGAAATGAAGATCGCTGTCGTTTTATATCACAAAACATTATATGGGGAATATCATCAAGGCAGTTTCTTTCCTCAAAAATTTTAAATATTTTAGTTTTTTTTCTCAAAAACGATTAATACCATTAGTATAGAGTGTTTGACATCAAAATTCATAAAATTTTACAGAGAATTTAAGTATCTAATAGAAAAGGGGGTACCTATTTGAAATAAAAAAGTTTCTGTCAACTTCCGGTATTTCCGGAAATACCGCCATATTGAAAATATTTTTAATTGATAGGTATAGAAAATGTATAATATTTATTTAAATTTAAGTTATTAATCTAAATAATTCTACTCACCTTTGCAATTTGTAGTAATACTATAGCGTGTTTAATATTCTCCAACATAACCTGAAATAAAATTACAATCATTAGATTCTAATACTATTAATAATTTATATAGTACAGGGTAGTTACAACAATGGGTTTTGTCTAACTAACGTATAATACGGTAATCGCAAAACATTTTCCGAGGCACGTCATCAACCATATCGAAATTGACACCAAAGCTCATGCTGATTAAAAGAAATTTTGGCAAAAATGTTTAAATTTGTTGTATAATTTAAGATACCGAGCAGCTCTTCATTTTACTTTATAGAGAAAATAATTGTAACAGATACTTTGTTTAGATTAAAGCTGTAAAAATTAGTTTAAACCGATTTTTATTATCGCCATGTTGGTCACATTGCGCCGCGATCAGCAACATTGTCGTGTATTATTTGACAATAATCATGTCAGTCATTATTTTGTATATAATATCGTGTTGTTGAATCTTTAGGAGTAATTCTGTTTTTTTTGCCGGTTTTCGTAGTATTTTTTTAAAAATTTTACTTTTAAGGACAAACAGTTCTTTTAAGAACTAAATTTTCGAGTTTTTATATTGCATTGTAGTTTGTAGCTTTCCTGATGAACTATTTTTAAAGAGAACGTGACAATAAAGGTCCTTTATTACACTTAACTGCAGTCAGAAAAGTAAGTTTGATTGGTAAGCACATTATATCACTTTCAAAGTTATTTCTACTTATTTCGATTTCTAGTGAGTAGCTGCTATTTTAAATTTAAATATTTCTACTGTGAGTATTAGCACAGATTAGGTACCTATACTATAAGTATACTGATAAAAATCTTATCCCTAATTCGTGGTACGAAAATTGTTTTTTATTACGATGTGCAAACGAGTAAAATTTCCTGTGCGCAAAAATAAACTCGCGTAAAATAACAATAAACAGCGTAATAGAGAGATATCGCTAAACCGAATAGCGTGCATGGACGTTAATAAGGCCAGGTGTTATTTCCTTTACGTGAGATGGTATGGTCGCGTCGCGTCCGCTATTTAAACTTAACCTAACTTTGAATTTAAAACTTTGAAATTGTTTTGTTTACTAGGTATTTTAAAACTAAAGGGCTAAAGTGCTTATTTCCAGTACTTTATTGTTCAACGTCTGTCAGTGGGTTTACGACAAGACAACAAATTCTCTTAGAAAGGCTAAGTCGTCATTTGCTGTAAACCTAAGCCTCTTTATAGGTTCTTTAATATTGGAAGAGGTGGAATCCATATTTTGAGCCATATTTATTTAATTAAAACTAATCCCAGCTACTTAAATATCAAATTACCTAATAAAACTAAAGTATTAATTCAAAAGAATTCAAACATAACCTAAAATAAAAGATCTCGCCGGCCGATCCCAGTTTTCAAATACCCGCACATGCCCATTTAAGCAATTTTTAAACGTTATTTAGAAATAGCGCTTTAACAAATAGGCGGTAACGTTATTATATATAATTTTACATTAAGATTCGTCTTATAAATCCATCTCATTCTGGCAGCGATGTCGCCATCGCTTGTCACTCAAAGCTGATCACGTGCATCGGAAATTGTTCTGCGATTACTTTATAATTAATTATTTTTAAATAATTAATAATGCCAAATACCAGTAAGTATACAGGGTGATTTAAAAGACATGAGATTCCTCACGTAAAATATGATTTATTTTTCATACAAGCATGGGTCCGATTCTGCTTTGTTTCGTAGCTACAGGGGCTTAAAGTCTCATTTTTTTCGATTTATTATAATTTTCTTCCAAGTGTTTTTAACGATTCAAATGAAATTTGGATAAAGAAAAAAAATTGAGAAAATAATCTTACATTTGCATGTTTTAAAATAATTTCACAAGTTGCTCTTTCTTCTGGATCTGTCAGCATCCCAATCCTTTCTTCAAGTTTCTAAAAAGAGAAAGACATTTAGTTATATTTAAAATATTAAAACGAACTATAAACTTTAACCTACCGCTGTTTGTTCAATCATAATCTGAAGATAGGCATCGGCTTCAGATACCCTGTTATCGAAATCTTTTAGTGTCGGTGTAGGATGCGGAGGTTCCCATCTTGACTGAAAAGAAAAAAAAAGTTTAATATATGTATAAATAAATTATGAATGCCTCAAGCAAAAAATGTAAATATGTATAATAAAATTATGAAAAAGATTAAACGGCTCAGCCCTCAACAACTCGTAACCGTATACACCAGTGCAGACACGCACACTCACACAACCACACCTACACTAGTGTACACTGATGTAACTGCCTTCAGGCTTCATCACTTCGGTAAGGAATCAGGAAGTGATGAAACTGATCCCAAAACACAAAAAACCAGGAAGCAAACGATGCAACGAGGAGATGGAAAAAAAAATTTGATGAAGAAGCGAAAATAAATGATGGAAAATAAAAGGAGCAAACGGGAGCCTAAAGCCCCACATTTTCTTCTTTTTTATACATTTCCCTCACTATTTATATCTTGTTCATATTGGTACCACGGCTAAGGGTATTGCGACGGGTTGCTATTGGCTACCTCCGCGGCTGTTCTGGACGAAGCCCGCAATCCTGGGCGACTCTGGTTCTTGGCTGCAAATTGGGGCTTTAGGTTCCCGTTTGCTCCTTTTATTTTCCATCATTTATTTTCGCTTCTTCGTCAATTATTTTTCCATCTCCTGGGTTGCACACGGTGCCTCGTTGCATCGTTTGCTTTCCGGCTTTTTGTGTTTTGGGATCGGTTTCATCGCTTCCTGATTCCTTACCGTACTGATGAAGCCCGAAGCCAGTTACATCAGTATACACTAGTGTAGGTGTGGTTGTGTGAGTGTGCGTGTCTGCACTGGTGTACACTGGTGTATACGGTTACGAGTTGTTGAGGGCTGAGCCGTTTAATCTGTTTCTTCTTTTTTATACATTTCCCTCACTATTTATTTCTTATTATAATAAAATTATGTAAACAGAATAACGGTATTGAGTTGATGAAGCAGATGAAGTCCATACCCAATTCATTTCACTAAAAAAATTCTAATATTTTTTAAGTTAACTATGCATGGGTTTATTATAAATCCGTGATAGCGTCGTCTCTTGTTGTTCTTAAACAGTTTTATTGGTTTACTCCAAAAATGATAGATCATATTTCAATATTATTGGAGTGACGGAACGATGAACGGTGCACGGACGCAGATGCGTATGAACTCGGCTTAAGATTTTTGAGGCTTGTCAAAGTCTTGCCAGATTAGGGGTTATAATTTGTATCAAATTATGTCAAATAACTTGTATTTTGGAAGATGACGCATTTTATTACGTGTGTTTTGTGTCTTTTGAAGTTAAGTGGAGGAAAAATCGAGGGAAAATTAACTGTAGACACAAAGCACAGTTTATAGTTAATATTCGGTGCCCAGACAGAGAGTTTTATACACCAATAAAGTTTTATACCATCTCCTATATGGTAGTAAAAACTGGAGTAGCTGTAAATTTGTTAATATTAATTGTAGCTGTAAAATTGTAATAATATTATATTTTGAGAAAAGGAAACTACAAAAAATTCGCAAAGAATCTATGAACATTGCGTAAAGTCTGTTTTTTACGATTTGGTTTTGAACTTTACACTGAATGAAACTGAATACTTTTGCATTTTTTATCCAATACCGATAAATTACAGACGTATTTTGTTATGCAGCACCTGGATGTACTTAACCTACAAGTCATCGAACAATCTGTGTTCTTTAATATGATTAGTAAAACAATACCATAAAAAACAGAGAATGTAAAACAATGTGTCTCGCAACTCAATTCTTCTACTAAAAAATTGTAAGATCTATTATAAATCCAAAGTTTGCAGTGTTTTTTTTATTTAGTTTCGATGGTAGCACCTAAATTGTTAGTGTCAATATTAGACATCTTTATTTCTGTAATAATTATGAATATCCTCCAATAAAGGAATAAAAGGCACACAGTATCCTCACAATTTTATATTAAAACTAGTTGAAGCCTGGCGCATCCGCCACGACATCAGCAAAAAAACTTTTTATTTTTTGTTAAATGAAAAACAAAAAACCCGCGACGACAATTTTTAGAAGAGCCAATTAGCTATCTTTTAGTAAAAAAACAACTTTCTTGAGCAAGTCGTTACTTCAGTAGAGACGACACAGATAAACATTAGCATTTTATATATATGTAGATAATCCTTATTTATTTTTTTTACAAACAGGGAGGCGACTAGTTTTGAGACGGTGAAGTCTCAACCTCAGGCTCAAGCTAAAAATATCAGAAAACAGTCAAAAGAAGTAAAAAGCTTCATGAAGTTCATTAGACCAAAGGGGGTAAGGGCATATATGTAGGGGTTAAGGCCTTTTCTACGCTTCTATGCACCATGTATATAGTCTGTCTTTGACAGTGATAGATGGGTCTGTCATTTTAATTTCAAAGTGGTTTATTTTATTTTACAAAGAAATAAGTTGGTAAAATTGGAACGCCATAGCAGGAAATTAATATACATATTTAAAATTTGAGTGACAACTGATCACTTCAAAATATCCTGAAAAAATCTAATCGAGTAATTTTATTTAAACAAAACACCACATACCAAAAAAAAATATAAAAAAGAACTATTTCTTACTTTCAAGCTTCAAGAAACTTCCTGCATTTATTATTATATTTCTCAATATAATTTATGCACAAATATGTTTTTTAATATTGCACAGGAAATTAAACACAACAATAATAAAACATAAATAATTTTATTAATAATAACATTTCCTGAATTTTATACCTTAAAAGTTATACCAAACGACACAAAACGCACGTATAGTAAACGCCACGAATGTTTGGGAGTGATTCATCGGTCGCTACCATGTGAACTAATCTGCTCAAGGTCATATAAAACTTAATTCCAGTGCCGTGGTGTTTCAAGTCATATAATAATCAATATATAATCTGTTGTAATTTGTTGTTTTAACTGCCAAAGTCTTGTCAAAACAAATATTTGGTTATAAATATAAACTGGAATGCCCCATTGGTTGCATGGCAAGCACACCAATGGATTGACGCACAAAAACGAATCAATCAAAGAAACGCGATATAGTATCGTCTTTGTCAATCACACTAACATTTTAGAATAAGTAGGAGGAGCGCAGGCAGATTATTAGACCGGGCCTTTAAAAATCTACGTCTGCGGTAAAAATTTACGTTTTTAATGTAAAAATGATAGCGCGCGTGTCGATTCTAATTTCATCAAGCGATGAATCACTCCCAAACATTAGTGACGTTTACTATAATAACACAGTCAAATGATCATCAAATATATCGATGATAATTTATGATCTGAATTGAGCAGATCATTGATGATAATCAAAATGCATCATCTTCCAAAACGCAGGTTATTTAACATAATTTGACACAAATTAGAACCTATAATTTGGCAAGACTTTGCCAAGCCCCAAAATCTTAAGTCGAGTTCATACGCATATACGTCCTTGCATCGTTCAGCGCAATGACTAAAGAATCCAAGGACAAATAACACCCGAAAGCAAATTGTGACCATGTCACCAAACAGTGCCGTGGCACATATTTTTCTTAACCTAGCTGTTTGAAGAGATATTTATATTTTTTGATAAATGTTTTGACTACGCCTATGGTGTATACGGTGGTATCACTGGTATCATACTAATTAATTACGAAAAAAAACGTATTAAAATGTTAATAAAAGGTACAAAACTAGTATCGACGTATAGCACACATCAAGTACATATAATATCAGAAAAAAAATTATCGAATTCAATAAGAAAACTAAGAAAACGCTGAAAAGGTGGAGCCATAGACTTAAAATAAAATATAGACTACACTATTTACATCTCAACGCGGACAAACAACCTTTTTTGTACACATGTTTACTTCTGGGTACAGTCGACCGAGCCTTCCTCATCCAGCCTATGTTGTCACGTCTTTAATATTATCAATATTTTTTTTCTTGTTATACACATATATTGAGATATTAATACTACAGTTTAATAAAGTAGGTTTTAATATTCCATAGATGATAAATAGTCCTTATACTACTAAATTATAAGTCGGATACTGTTTAAAAAGGATAAGTTCTTTACAATATGACAACACCGATTAGAAGCGAGGGAGCCTATTCATTCATTTATTACCTTGTAGTACGCGTCGCACGTGTGCGGTAAAGCTTTGTTGCCGCTATATCCCCGGCTGTATTAACGCATTTTCTTAGCTTGTAGTCTTTAATTGTTTATTTTATTGACTTTTTCTGTTCAAGAACTATAAAATATGGTTCGTCAGTGCCAAATTTGCAAGAAATTTGACTTAAATAATCCATTTAAGTCTTGAAACAACTTTCGACCGTAGGCAACTCTCAATTTACCCATTGGGAGTCAGTGGCGTTGTTGTAGAAAGGCGCTTATTTAGATAATATTTTAGTAAAATGTAAAATCTGAATTTTTTCTCTTATATTACATTATTTACTTACTTACATTGTAACAAAATCATAATTATAACCCTGTTAATAATTAATAATGTTTTTATTAAAAATATATTCCGGTTTATTCTAAAATTATCTTCAGAATCTAAAATAACATACAAGAATTTTAATATGATATTACATTATGAGACAATATTTTTTAATATACCGGGTCGTCTCAAAAGTGGTTCACCGCTATAACTTTTTTATTTTTTCAGATAAAAAAACAGATTTGTATGTTAGTAGGTATATGACATAAATTAGGATTTATTGACGTATTCAATTGTTTTTGGTCTCTTTCTGTTTCACCGAAATGATTACATCTTTTGATTTTTAAAGGCACCCTCGGTATATTTCTACTTTATTCGATAGAAAATGATAATAGAATTCTGAATAGAATGACATATCATATGTCAACTTTTGACATTGTCGCTTAAAAACAAATCGTATTATAAATTTCAATCCAGGGTGCCATGGTGTTGTTAAAAACACTAAGTTTTAATCAAGGAGCCTTGGAAAAATAGTTTTGATCGTCTAATGGGTTTCGTGTCTTGTCTAGGCCGATTAAAAGATGTACAAATCATATTTTTAATCATACATATG